TGCGCCGTGTTGTTGAAACATTGAATAGTATTGCAAATGAAGTCATTAGATGGCCTACTGGTCCAAAATTGACAGCTTCAAAAGAGACTTTTATGTCTCTTGGAAGATCTCTGCCTGGTGTGATAGGAGCTATCGATGGTTCTTACATATTTATAAAGCAACCGAATATTCAGGTATTTTTTTTTACATTTAGTTATTTGAATTTTGTTTTATTTGATAAAAAAAGTATATCATATTTGTAGTTTTTATTTCTTTTTAGGAAATTGCTATTCATTATAAGTGTAGGAAATTGCAATATGCTGTGGTTCTTCAGGCAACTTGTGATGCAAATTTAGTCTTCATTGATTGTTTTGTGGGTTACCCTGGCTCAGTAGGAGATTATCGAATTTTCCGTAACTCAGATCTTTATAAAGAAGTTTCTAGAGATTCCTCTATCTTTTTTCCTAACGGTGAATTTATTGTGGGTGACAAAGCATATCCTGTTTTGACTTGGTGTATTCCTCCATTTCGAGATAATGGACGTCTCACACAAGTAAGTAGAGACAGCAACATTAAGTACATTTTCATAAATATCCTTTCCATTTTCTGATTAATATAATGGTTGTTTTAGGAGCAGAAGGTGTTTAATAAAGTGATATCACAAAAGCGACAAAGTACAGAAAGAGGTTTTGCTCTTTTAAAAGGAAGATTCAGACGATTGAAATTTCTTGACATGTCTCGTCTGGATTTAATACCATCTTTTATTATGGCAGCCTGTGTCCTTCATAATATTTGCTTGGAAGGCATGGATGATAATATGGAAGAATTTATAGAAGAAGGAAGAGAACCAGAATATGAGGAAGAAAATGATAATAGAGAAGATCAAGAGTACAATGATGAAGGGCAAGAATTTGCTGATGGTGAAGTCAAACGGAATTATTTATGTCTTCAAGTTGCTGGAAGACAATAAAAGTCAATCCGTAATGTGCAATATGTAATGTCTTTATATGCGATATACAGGGTGTCCAGAAAAGAGACGAATGACGTTTAAGGGGAGATTCTTGAGATCATTTTGAGAC